CGGGGGGGGGGGGGGGGGGGTCGAGGCCTGCCTCGTTGCTCCGGCAACGGGGCATCTCTCTGCAGAGCCCGTGAAGGGGATGCGTGGGCCTGGAAACGATGGGGAGGGGGCGAGTCACGAGGTCCGCCTGTGAGGAATCCTCGGCTTAGCTGGGCTTTCCCCGAACAGTGCGGGGGCGTTGACGGCTGCCGAGATCGCACGTTCCTGAAATCCACAGAGGAGGCGAGGTGGGTGGAGGTGGAGAAGAGAAAGAGGCCAGCGCGAGGCGCACGTCTCGCAAAGCGGCCGGGATCGCCTCGATGGGGCTTTGGCGCTTCGTGGGGGAGGACTCTCCCACCTTGGCTCCGAGAGAGGCCGGGCCGCAGGGCAGGGCTTGGAGCCGTACGTGGTGCGTGCCTGCGCCACCGACTTAGCACGCGTCCTTCCTCCCCTTGTCCGCTGCTCAGTGTTCCTCAGAGGGCTCGGGGTTACGCGCTGTGCGTTATTGATCTGCGTGGGCCTTAAAGGGGATGTGATTCGGTCTTCGGTGCAACACCCCCGCCGCGAAAAGATCGCCAGATAACGAGAGATGGAGAAGTTTTGCTCTCCTTTCTGCCTGAGTCTCTGAGACGACCTGGCAGAAGTCGGCCTTGGAGTGGCCGACTGCGACTGCCTGCTGCCCAGAGGCTGCTGCTTGGATTGCAGACGGCAGCGGCCCTCTGCAATCCAAGCAGCAGCCTCTGGGCAGCAGGGGGAGACCCGCTGGTGGTCCAGGAGAGGGCTGGAAAGGGCGCCCTGAAGAATTCGCAGTTCCTGCAGCTACAGTGGCATGAAGGGTGCTCTCGCTCGCCCACTCTCGCGCTTTCTCCTCCCTCCCTTTCCCACCCCTTGGCCAGCTGCTGTCGTTCCGCTCCAGGTATTTTGAACAGCTTGTGTCATGGAAGGTAATTTCTTTGGAGGAGAGAAGTACAGAGCCCTGTACCTAGAGAGGGGGAAGCCTGGGTTGCAAAAGGCACTGCGGGGGTGGGGGGGAGTGAGGCAAGACTTGCTTTG